GAAAAGGGGCGGGAGTTGTACCCAGCAGCCAGTCAGGAGCAGCTCTGGGAGCAGCATCCCAGCAGGAAAGATGGTGGGAGGACTGGAAAAAGAGCAGACCGAGCCAGAGGGAGGGATTCCTGACTGTGGCAGGATAGGAGGGACACATAGAATCATGGAACGGTTTGGGTTGGAAGGGACCTCACAGACCACCCAGTTCCAACCCCCCTGCCATGGGCAGGGACACCCTCCACTACACCAGGTTGCCCAAAGCCCCATCCAACCTGGCCTGGAACACTGCCAGGGATGGGGCAGCCACAGCTTCTCTGGGCAACCTGTGCCAGTGCCTCAGCACCCTCAGAGGGAAGAATTTCTTCCTCAGATCCCATCAAAATCTCCCCTCTTCCAGTTCAAAGCCATCACCCCGTGTCCTGTCACTCCACACCCTTGTCCAAAGCCCCTCTCCAGCTTTCCTGGAGCCCCTTCGGTCTGCAGCAGGTTGTGGTCTCTGCTCCCCTTTCCCAGCGCCGGTGTAACCCGCAGTGCGCAGCAGTGCCAGGCTGCCTGACATTCCAGATTCCAGCCGGGGGGAAGGACGCTCACGGGAGATGTACGCCCCAGGAGGGGGGCCTGACCCACAGACGGGTCCCCGAGGCTCAGCCAGCTGCACTCACCCGCATGTTGGGGTCGTCAAGAGAATGTCGTGCCTGCATGATCGCCTCCTCCGAGACCCGCGTGTCCCCGTTGGTCTGGATCTCCAGCACGGCCATCTGGGGAAGAAGGAGTGCAGGCACGTCTGCATGCGGCCAGCCCTGGGGCAGTCCTGGAGGGCTTCCCGGAGGGACATCCCCTGGCAGGGTGGCAGTGGTGGAGCTCCTCACTGGGACACACAGTCTGGGCAGGCTCCGGAGCTCCTGGGCTCCCCCGTGCTCCCCGGCCACTGCGTCCCTGCACTTGGGGCCTGTTTCTTGCCCGCACACTGCCCCAGGCTGCTCCCAGTGTCACGGCAGTGCCGGCACGGGGAGCTGCTCCCGGGCACCGTGCGGACCGGGGGACGATGCAGACAGCACCAACAGCCACACAGCCCGCGCGGGCAAGCTGCGCTCGGCGGTGCACGTCCCCTGGGAGCAGCACGGTCTGTCCCTGCCCTCTGTGCTCACCCACCCCAGGGCTGTCACAGCCCAGGGAGGAAGAGGAGGCACCAGCAGAGGCGGCCGAGAGGCACTGGCCAAGCACAGAGGGGTGAGCTAAGCCTGGTGCTGCACCCAGGGCAGGGTGGGCCACGGCAGCAGAAAATGCTCTGCTGAGCTCAGCAGAGACGTCTCCATTGCTGCAAGGGATCCCCAGCTCACAGCGAGGTTTGGGAAAGGGGAAGGAGACACGTCGGGAAGCTCCCCAGGCCCCTGTGATCCCCGGCAGGCTCAGCAAGAACAACCCTGCCCTGTACCCAGGGCTCACGGCAGCTCCCAGGTGCTGCAGCCATCCTGCTCCCTACCTCCAGCGCACACATCCCGAAGGAGAAGATGTCCACAGCCGTCCCGTCAGCCTTTTCTGCAAAACCAAGGCAGAACCCCGTCAGGGCAGGGGGACAGCCCCCTGCACCCCGATTCATCCCTGCGGATGCCTCTGCCCTCACCCCTGCCCAGGCCCAACCGTCCTTTTCCTCTGCCCATGCCCACTCCCCCCACCCAGGCACACATTTTCTCACAGTTCCCTGCACAAACCTTTCCCACTTATTCCCCTCAATTTTGCTGCAAAATAGTCAGGATGGGGATGACATAATGGGTTTTCGCATGGCACAAAGATTCTTTACTCCTTTTCCCTACGTGTTGTCACATTTTACATGCTTTTGAGCGTTCCTGGGCCATAAGGTGACCTTTCCAGAGCTATCCGTGGCCACGCTGAGACCTTGTTCCCGACCCGCAATTGCCAACGCGCGGCCCGTGCCCGCGTAGGCGCAGCCGTTTCTGCCACGTGCACAGCTCCGCGCTCATCGACGCCAAATTCTACCTCCCGCGTTACCACCCCCAGCCGTTATCCGAGATCTCCGGAGGCTCACGGCCAACAGCTCCAGCTGTGAACGCACCGGATAACTCCGTACGGTTGCAAACACGCTGCGCCCACGCCTCGCCCGGGACCCCCTCCTCGCCCCTCCGGGCACCCAGGCTGCCCGCACCCCTGGCAGACAGACGGACCCCGCACTCACGGCCGTACTCCGGAGGGAAGAAGTGCAGGTTGCGCTGCTCTTCCCTCTCGATCCTGATGGGGCTTCGCAGGTCATCCGGGAGGGCTGCGTCGGG